CACACACACACACACACACACACACACACACACACACACACACACACCCATATGCCCGTCGAGTTCCAGAAAACAAATAGACACAATCCACAAAACGGCCTCAGTGGGTAGGTTTATCGACCGGGATTCACGGAAATGCATCCATGCCAAACTGGTGCGAAATGGATTTTGTGGGTTTGCTGATGCTCCGAAATGTTGACCCAATTGTGATCCCTCCCCCAACAGAAGGCACCTGTACAAACAGCAACTGGACTGTGTATCAAACCGGATCATGGGAGAACTCGCTTTAGCATCTTATATAGCCTGAAAGATCAATCTCGAGAGACAACGAGACAAATGCCCAGGGTTGATGTGGCTGAGGCTTACTGAGCCCCCATCTTAACATGTTCAAAGTCACTCCCCATGCATATTCATCACCCCCAATGTTCCCCTCCAAAAGTGACGATTTCCCACTAAATCCAGGGACACCCCCTACTGATAAACTGGGGTTGGTTAATATTGGGAAAGGGAAATGCCGCCATGCCCCTTAGTTTAACAGCTGTCCTTAAAGCCCTCCCTCAAAATCATGGAACTATCCGCTGAAAGTTTCAGGGTCTGCGATCGGTTGAGCAAATCCCTCGGAGAACTGAACCCGCATGGAAAACAAAATGCCCTCCTCCCTATGGGCAACCAAAACCGTCAAGGATCAGAAGGGAGGGATATCTGGACTTTTGTCTGGTTGGGAAGGCTTCGATCCCCTTCATCTACCCAGGTTTTGATAGTGAGCGTGAACCGAGGATCTGAAGGAGGCGTGTGACCCGGAAGTCTCAGAGGGCCTAAAACCAAAACACCAGGGCCGCAGAAGGTTTGAGGCACTCACAAAACCAACCAGCGTTCAAGCAATTTCACCTCCCCTGAGTCTTTCCTGTGCGTTGCCGCCGCAGACGAAAGGTACTCCAAACGTGGGAGAAGTCCAAAAGGAAACCAAGGACCCCACAGAAATGGTTCTGAGAACCTTCCAAGAGAGGGGGGGGTGTCTGATGGAGGCGTTCGGAGAACCTGAAATGAAAGATAGGATGCACCAGCAGCATCTTCAGCATCACTAGCAGGGCCGCTTGTAAGCAAGTAAATGAGCAGCAGCATCCCCAGCATCACCCCCCAAGACGGCTGTTTTCCTTTCGACTTCCCTTTAACGACACCAAAAAACGAGCCAACCCCCCCCAAAAAAAAAAACGACCCCCCCAGCCGAGAGCCGCTTTCGTGCCACGCGCCCGAACTCACCTGCCTCAGTGAGAACTTCCGGCGGACTGGCCTGGGCGAAAGGCTTCCGGAGACTGGAAAGTGAGACGTGCCCCTCACATCATGATTAGAGTTAGGCCCAGTTATAGAATGTAGATTTTACGGTTTGCTTCACTTTGAGTCACTGGCAAAGTGTAAAATGTATCCTGAGTCTACCCAAGACCATGTTCCTGAAAAAGTCCCACCCTCTAGTTCCATTCTCTCTGTGGACAGGAGAAAACGTTGCCATTGTTCTTGCTGGGGCCATTGATGCTTCCATGCCACGCCTGATGACCGGGGTTCGGCGCGTGAATGAGGGAATAGAGACTCGATCTGAGGCTTCGGGAATCCTGAACTAAGACCATCCAGCTTCCCGGCTCCTTTCAAAACCGGCAAGTTCTTACAAAAACTGGGCTGCCCTCAGATCCCCCGCTAATAGTGACTCGCTTTTGGTGGAAACTACCACCAAACACTAAAAGGCTAAGAAGTTAAGGAGCCGGATGGCTGGGAGCCACCAAGACATTTGAGGTCTAAGCTGGGCAAGTTAAGAAGAGCTTAGGCTTAAAAGGCCTGAGCCACAGGAAACAAACAGAAACGAGAGCTGCTGCATCATGTTGCCTAACTTGTTTATCTCTCTTTCTTTCTTTCTTTTTGGGGGGGTGGGGGGGCTTGGGATGCTCCTTCTCTCTTTTTCTTTGTCCCAAAATAGGATCGTGTGTTTCAGAAAATCAAAACGTCAATGGTACCCGCACCAGGTGCATGTCATGAGCCTGAAAACATTTGAGGTCTGTGCCAAGAAGTTTCGCGACTCGGGCAACCGTATCAGAGATGCAGAGTCAACGTATTCCAACCGTCTGCGAACTTTGCTTGGATCACTCTTCAAAATGCGTGGGAGAAGACAAACAAAATAGAATCATGTGGCCCAAGCGTCCCGAATGACATAAATCCCAATGTTGGTTTCACAGAGTTGGGCCAAACTCTTGAAATCAGTAAAGTCGAGTATGCCAAGCCCCTTGCCAAAAAAACGGTTTGTGTGGAAGTTTGGCACCAAATTCAGCCACGCTTGGTAAGAGAGTCATGTGTGTGTGTGCAGTCCTTCCGCTGCTTGCCCATGGTCAAAACTCCAAGTTCCTGGGTGGTTCCCGTAGCTTGGGTTTAGCACAAGTTTGCACTGAGCAAAATCCCTGGAGACGTTCCGAGCAAAACTTCAACCCTTGAGGCTCATGGCTCGCGGTTGTTTTCTCGAAAAAAGATGCGGGCAAGACTTGTGAGCTCTGGAAAACATTGACATAGGATCGAAAATATCTCTGGCATCCGGCCAGTGGACTTCGTTTCTCGAGGCTGGAAGAGGTGATATTCTTGTTCAAACAGACTTGAAGACCCAACCCGTAAAGGCATCTCTGTGTCTGCTGGCCGTGCATTGCGAAAGAAGCATTCGACGGCCATGAGTACCATGCGTATATTTCCAGCTGCTCCAAACTAGGCCATCGGAGATTGGAATTGATTCTCTGCATAGCTTAACGAACTTGCTGGAAGTCTTCCACCCACTTTCCCATGACAAGGCTCATGTTTCACAGGCGGCCAATGGAATGTTTGAAAAGTGGCCCAAGTTCACTGTTGAAACAGTCAAAACAGGGCGACCAGAGCAAAAAGAACACCTGTGCCCATCCATCACCCGACTTGGGTAATCAACACTGGGTATACAACCCCATACTTCTGGACAAACTGTTAGATTCACCAACCGAAAATAGGGACCGAAAAACATGTCTTCATTGTGGGTCGCTATGATTTGCCCAAATAGTTCTAAGTTCTAAATCAGCCAACCCTGTCTTTCGGTGCAACGTTGCTCGCTTGCTTGCTTTCTTGCTGGGCTTGTGTCTATATCGGGCACAGGCAAGCAAGCAAGCAAGCAAGCAAGCAAGCAAGCAAGCAAGCAAGCCAGCCAGCCAGCCAGCCAGCGAGCGAGCCAGCCAGCCAGCGAGCGAGCCAGCCAGCCAGCCAGCGAGCGAGCGAGCGAGCACGCCCCGCGTGCAGAACTGCCCCGGGCACTCGGCGCCGAACGTGGGTGGAGTAGCATCCGTTGGCCTGGCACGACGGGTCGTCACGCATTTGGCCGGTTCCTTGGACTCGTTCCGGCGCCCGCCCAGCTTGCGCTGCCTTGGAAAGGGTATGAGGGCCTCTAGTTTTGACAGCCCCTCCCCATGGGTGAGTCCACGTTTTGAGGGTCGGTGTGTTCATTCTTGGGCTGGGGTTTTCAGAAGCTGGCCACTTCGCACCATACCCACCCAGATTCGCGCCGCCTCGAGCATCAACCCTGGCTCGTTACACTGCGTACGTCTGAAAATGCGTGCAATGATGTTTAAATGTATCCATCTCACGGATCGACTCTGTTGCCATCGTTCGGATGGAGTTCTTTTCCGGTTCTCAAAGTGGGGGCAATCACCTCCACTGGAGCCCTTCCCGGGCGTCCAAAGAATTGAAGACCTGTCTATGAGAAGACGTGAGCGTTGGTTGCACTTGGCCGGTAGTTGCGTCGTCTTCTGATTGGTAGTTGAAGCCATCTGAGGCGAGATGGCTCAACCCAAAAGCGAGACCCTTGACATGCGGTGGCATTCGATGTGTCCCGCGCGGATTGTTAGGCTCGTTTGCAGTGAGATCGAAGCGTGACAGAAGCAAAGCCACTTTCTGTGCTTGTCTGTGTCGGGAAAGGATGGCTTGCATTGTAGACAAAAGCTTTCGCTTGTAGCAGATCTTTTGCAGAAGGGACAAGCACGTATCACAAATCACAGTTCCAAAGCCAACAGAACGGAACCAAAACAGCGCCCCCCCCCCATCGGGGTCAAGTCAGGGGACCTGGGTAGGGGAGGGCCACTCTCTGAGGGATTGCTTTGCCATGTTCAACAATTCTTGTCAGAAACCAGCGTTGGATTCTTGGCGGTCTGATTTCAGAAGGATCCCTAAAAAGCCGCGTGGAAATTCCTCTTGTCCTTGTTTTCCCCCAAAAAAAGCCGGCTGCTCATTGGGCTTCTCGGCTCAACGTCGGGTTTTCGGATCCCCCAAAACGGCGGCTTTCCTTCTGACTTAAACCCACCTGAAACGGGGTACCCCGCCCCCCCAAAAAAAAAACACACCGAAAAAGGGCCGCCTGTTTTCAGGGGACCGTGTCCTGTTGATTTCCCTTTAAAGCCAACAGAAAAGCGGTTCCCCCAAAATGGGACGCAAACCCACAAGGTAAAAAGAAGCCCCAAACAACGCCAACCCGTTGAAAACCGGGTCTCCGTTGAAAGGCAAACACCCCAGCAGGCGAATGACCTGTTTGGATTGCAGGTGCTTGGTTCTTTTGCGTTTCGCATAAAGATAATTTGAAGAGGATTCAAAACATGTCAAAGACAAGTCCATGTCTTGTTCTGCAACGAGGATGGCCACCTCGCGGCAAGTTGCCGCTTGCCACGCCCCTTGAAGAACCCAACAAAGTTTAACAGCAATATCTTGCTGGCAAATCATACTGAAGAAGCCCCCCAGTCAGGGCGGCGTTAAGGGAATCAAGCAGGTTTGACGTCCTTTTCTTGTGAGGTACACCTACTGCAGAAAGGGAAGGGTATTCAATCTGCATATGAGCCTTTGGCAAAGGGTCATTTCCAAATTCCCTGCAAACCGCCAACCGCCACCTCACCATCCACCTCTCTACTCCAAGCACCGGCGGTGCGCCTTTCCAGTTGAATAGCAGAAAGTGACTTGCTCATCCTGACAGGGTGCATTTAATGAGAGCCATGACGCAGGACAAATGCACACTAAACACCGGCAAATCATGCCAATCCCTGGGACAGTTGCTGACAGGGCGAGAAAAGAAACGAAACAGTCAGGTCTCGTCTGAGGCAAGGGAGTGGGTCAAGAGGAAACACACATACTTGGGATGGTTCAACTATTTAGAGACAACCCCATCTGGATCAAACTGTCCTACGCAAGACACACACCAACACACCACCAACCGGCCCAACGTGGGCGGAATCCATCAGTGGGCGTGGGTCATTCTCTTATTCGATTCCCGAATCAGCAATCCACAAGTAAATGATCTACATCATGCTGTGGGTGGACAAATTCTTGCACCATAGGTGAAACCTATGGATACGCAATATAGATACGCAAAGAAAAAGCCCACCAACTGGTGCACGATTACATATGTCAATGAGTGGCGAGCTCGCTCTTGCTTGTGGCTTAGGGAAAAGGAAGCCACAACTCTGAAAGGATTCCCGTATGAGACAAGCACATTAATGCGAGCTTCCTTTCGGTGCGAAGCTTAACGGCCCATGTTCTTGTGTGTGTGTGCCCCGTCTCTTTGTAAAATGATGCCCAACACAAGCCCTTAACAGAGATGCTGTTTTCTAAGGTTGATGTCGGATCCAAAAACTTATCTTTGCCGGTCCCTTATTGCCTTGTCTGAAGTTGAAACTGAGGCGTGAGGGTAAAAACAGCCGTGCTTGGGATCTGTGCCCGGACGCGAACGTGTTACCTTGCTGTCTCGTAGCTGTCCACTCCAAAAGCTGTCGTCTTTCGAACAATTGGCTGTGGGTCAAAAATAGGTACCCAAAATGGGTTGCCCTGGTCAATGGAAACATAGACCAAGACCTGCGGTCCAATTCCTGGTAGTTTCATTTGGACCCATACCCAATTGTACCCCTGGAAGGTTTTGGAAGACATCCTCTTCAAAAGGCCACTGGTCCACTTCCGCGATGGTTGCAAATGAGGGTAATCCCAAACTCAAATCACCCCCTTGCCAGAACCTCTGTTTAGAGGGCGCAACAACTTTGGGGATCTGTTGATTCCGCCCATGCGAGCGCAGCATGCACCAGGAGGAAAAAGCATCATGTCAAACCTAGATCAGAAGACGCAGTGACCGCACGCAATCTGCATGTGAGGGACATCTTACGAGGAATTCGGCAAATCCATGGCAACCGCAAGACCAGAGAACTCGAACGTGCGAAGCCTTGGTGTAACCCGCAATTGGTGGTTTGGATTTGTGGTTTGGGGATTGGAGCCTCTGGTGCTTGTAGAGGGTAAATAGGAAACCCTCCTTCTGGCCCCATTATTTTACCACTATCAAAGTCACCCCCTGAGTGGTGGGTGAAAAGGGCCACCCCAGTTTCTGACTTTAATAACCCCTATTAATGCCCCCAGTCCTGAACCACCTTCGATCCAAACCACCAATTAGACAAAAGCTGAGAACCTAGAAGTAGCCGGGTCAAAACAATTCGAGAATCTTTCTGAGGGAACGGACCTAGGGCAGAACCTCTCACTCGGGCACAAGGGACCCCTCTAAGCCTCGTTGGTTTCCCTTCGAGGTGTGCCTAACATCCCACCCCCTCGCCCCCCAACCAAATAATTAAAAGAAAGATGGGGTCAAACCAGATCTCTTAGGTTTCATCTTAATGACTGGTCTTTTCCAGCCGGACATTTCTCTCAGGATGTTCTTTTTGGGTCCAAAAGACTACCCGCTTTGAGGGTCATTCTCACGTGGAAAGCTGCGCATCTGCGCCTTCATCATGCGCCACCGCCCATGGCCGGTGATTCACCGCCGCTTCCGTCGTTTCGGTTTTTCCGAAGCGGGCCTGTGTGATGCAAGTTGGCTCCCTAGCGCTCAGAGTGCACCTTTTTGGTGGACAACATGCTTGTCGTTTGCCGAAGCCATGACGTTCACCCCGGAACTTGGTGGTTGCAGCAAAAACACAAAAGGACAAACCACGGCCCAGGTTAAGAAAACTGCGCGAAACCGGTCTCCGCTTTTCTTTCCTGCGAGCCAAAGCAAAAGCCGGCAAGTCGTGTGGAGACACGAGCACAACCCAAAACTCACGGTGCGTGACCCTAAAATGGGTTCTAACAAATACGTTCCGTACGGATGCGCAAGGCACATTGCCTTTTGGAGCAAGCGATTACCCGTTGATGAGAACCTGTTGATTAGTCCCCTGATCATAAACCAAGCCAAGAGAAAGCCTGAAAACCAACCCAAAACCGACACGGAATACCCGAAACCAACTCAAGACCCTACCCCCTGAACCACACCCAACTGTATATCAGACAATGCCCAACCAATACAACCCCACAGGACCAAGACCGGAGGAACATCAATGGGGGGGACCTATTTTTCTGATGGGGGGGGGGGGGGGGGGGTAGGGCAGGGCAACAGTGCACCATGTACAAATGTCTTTGGCTCCCATACCCCTCGGCCTGGCACTGTGGATGGACAACATCCCGCATCTGTGGGGATGGACGAAACCATAGGTGTCCTTTTGGAAAAATAGATGGCCCTGGCAAATGGAACAAAACCCATCTAAACCAGTGCCTTCTATTTCTAACCACACGAACCTAAAAAGGACACTTATGGATGAAATGTAAAATACCGACCAACTGGTGCAGGATTTGCTTCTGTCCACTGCATCCCCAGAACACATCCCAAAAAATCCCTGGGCTTCGTTGGCCCAGATGTATGAGGGTGAAGCCCGGGTTTTGTTCGTCCCCCATGTCCCTCTCAAATGTACAGACCACCCGAAATGTCCACCGTAAATTTGATGTCCACCATGGCGCTCCAATTGTCACTGGCGAGCTGCCAGACCAAAGGGCTGTCTACGAGTCTACGTAGAAAACCGATTCCTATCCATACCATCCATATTTCTTTGTTTGCCTACAGGGTATGTGTCAAAATAGGGGGGGCCCAAAAATGGGTTCCGGTGTCCTTTTGAGTCCCTTCAACACCACCCCGAAAAAGAGTACCGAGCCTCAAGAAGGGGACAAACCCAATGACGCGTCAAAGTGAGCTTGGACACCTCGCAAAGTGCGACTTGCGTTGAGATCCCTGACATGCGAGCCCAACGATTGGTGCAGATGGCAAGGGATGATCTCTAAAATTGGAATGAGTCTTCAAGAAAGCGGCAAACAAAGGCAAAGGAAAGCGCAGGAAAGTGCATGTCACATGGAATCTTTCCAGGGTCAAGTTCAGGACCTCTCCTCTTTGGTATCCCCAGGTGGCAATAGGGGCCAAACAAGGTCCCAAAGAATCTCGGGCACTGCAAGACCTTGGGCAGAAGGTTGTCGGCGGACCAGCCTGCAATTTTGGCCGGTAAAAAAAGGCAGAAAAAGGTGGTAGCTGGAATATATGGGTGTTTCTGTTTTTTGCCCCCCCCCGTAAATGGCTTCGGTTTTCCTTTGGGTGTCTCTTTGAAACCGCAAAAAAAAGGAAGAGGTACAAGCACCCTCAAAACAGACAGACCCATGTTGTTTCCTTCACAAAGTGGTAATGATCGACCAGAACATTGGGTGATCAGCATGGTTGTGAGGGAATCACTGTGATACCAACATGGGTCAGACAGAAAGTGGCCCCTCGATTTCCCATGAGAATGTTGAGCCAAGACGCCACGCATGTTCGCATGACAAACCCGGGTGATTGAGGGTGCAACCCTTCAAAGTCACGTTAGGGAACAGCATCCTCAAAAGTGATCTCGCAATGAAACGATGTGTGTCATGGTCAAATCTGCAAATCTGCGGGCCATGGTCGTGGCTCCCTGAATAGCAATCATTACCTGTTAAAGAGTAGTGTCCAACCCAGCCATCATAAAAGTGGGGCTTAGAGTTCTGAGCTTAGGCTTCAAGTCTGGGCGGCTCATGTGAGCCATGCTCACTCTTCGCAACGGGTATGGTTCCCTCAGCAACGCCTCTGAGAAACTCGCCCTTCGAGACATCATCCCCAAAGAATTCGCCGTTGGACTATATACCTGGTCAAAGGAACTCTGCACCCTGGATTCCCTTTCGTTTGTAGGTTCCATGTGAAGCCCCTTGTGAAAACGCATGGGTTGCACAGCTCTGAACCGCAAGTTCCCAAAGCACCTACCAGAACCAGAAATTTGGGGTTCGTATGGGAGCTGAACCCAACCCCCCACCCACCCACCCCCAGCACAAAAAAGAAAAAGCAAATCACGCAGGGCCCACTGACGAAGTGCTGCGTCTGCTCATCTGGGTAATCCCACATCCTCAGGCTCCCAAAGTCACTGGGCAGCTCGTGAAGGGGAGCCATGGACAAAAAGGCCCCTGAGACTCCTTAATTGCCCACAAACTGTGGCTGTTCCCAGCTGCTACAAAAAGTGTAACCTCTGAAAAAAAAAAAAAACAAAAAAAAAAAACCTAAAACTACAAGCCCTAAAAAACCCAACAGCCTAAGGAGCCATCTATGGCTGGGAACTCCCTCCGGCTTCGATGCGACCAGTCGAAAGGAGAGGTCTGTCGCTATGCTCAGCGACGCGTGCTACATGTGTCTGGGAAAAACAAAATATACCAATCCCCTGCATATGACTTTCCCTTTGGGGAAAATGTATAACACAAGAGCCTTCCGTACTGAACATGAAGTTACACCCTACTCAAGTAGGACTCCCCGACATCGAGGGAAGCTCGTTTTGGGTTGGGACTGGCCCCAAGAAAACTTGAACCATCTCCGGGGCAGAACCGGCCTGACCCCTTCCCCCTCCAAAATGCGCAAGCAGTTTTGCCAGCGAGTGGGGAAGGACTATTCATTTTCCAAGCGGCTCAAAGCTGGTTCTGGCAATCCAAAGGCCATACTTCAGTGCTTTCAACAACTGCCCAGGACAATCCCTAACCCCCCCCCCTTCAGCAACCAAAAAGGCCTTTCCAGTGATGTTTAAGACCTCACCTTTCAACATAAACCCAAAAGGAAGCTCAGCTTGACTGAGCCCTTGGGGGG